CTGTGATTGTCATGCGTATCTTTCAGTGAAGCACGGTTCTGTGATCAGCAGTAAATCTCTATCCAAAGGCCAGAGGACGCTCTCGCGCTGAAACTCCAAATAGGCCTTGCAGAAGTAACCCAGGAAATCCCTATAGCAGTTGCTGAATAAACAGAAGATTTAACTGCTTTCATCGATTCAACGTGACTAATAAACACACGACTATGACAATATATGGTTCATCGGAGTTAGGCCCAATCCCAATTCTACCCCTTCCCCTTTCCCCTACCCCTCTGTTTCGCGAGGTCACGTGAAGGGGTAGGGGTGTCTCAAATCTCTTTTGGTTGGAGGGGTAGGGGTAGGGGAAGGGCCAGATAGCCCTTCAAACGAAGATTTTTCGGGACCACACTTTATTTTCACCCCTACCCCTTGACACTCTGTTTCAAGGGACAAGGGGAAGGGGTAGGCGAAGGGGAATAAAATAGAATTGGGATTGGGCCTTAGTCTTATAATTTTTATTATAATAAAGTACATAATGCACCGCTAATTGGCATTATCATAATCACGCGATTAAATCGTCTGCGATTATGAACGCGATTTTGCGTAGCTTGTCGGTGAACTACGGCTCTTCGTAGTAAATACAGCTCAATGCTTTACTGACAAGATGCACATGACAATTGCATTCGATTAATCGTGCAGCCCTAGAGAGAGCTCAATGTAGATGTGGTGGGGAAAACTAATAAAACTAATGTCACCGTAGCAAAAGTTTTCTCCTCTGCCATATTTTAGGTCAATGGCCCACCCAACTCTGTTATAAAAATTATCCAAGTTTCCCAGTCATAAATATGACTCCAGACCATTCATGTCCATTTTCCAACAAGGAAACTTGTAACTACTATAATTCAGAGGGAAGCATTTAAGTTTGTGCTCACATTTAATGCTGCTCCTCAAAATCTAGTGGGTTTTATGATCACACAGATTTTGCTTGTGTTAAAGCTGGTTTGCGGTGTTCACTGACAGAAAGGTGCTTGGTTTAAAATTGACCTCTCAAGAACAGCCTCAAAGCTTGATGCCTCCTTGTCATTTCTGACTTAATAATGTCTAAAAGCTGCTGTGTGACAAGATGTACAGCAAACAAGCTAAAAAACCCAGAACTAGGTTTTTATAAGCTGTCAACCCCAAAAAAAACAAGCATTTAGGACACAAACATAGAGCACATCGTCTCATATTACTCTGAGAACTGCGCCCACTGGAGAGAAACGTAATCGTGACAAGACCACTCATTATTTTTAACCATGTCAGAGGATTATTTCACCACCTGATGTGAACCTGAGAGCAGGAGATATATTAAGGAACTACATTTTATTGGTCTATGTCATTGCCCCTTTTCCTAACCTTCCTTTTGTTTGAGAAATGATCCACTCAATGGCCCGACGTGAAATACCCCGACATCTACACCCCCCCTTATTGGGAAAAAAAAAAAAAAAAAAAGTATATAAATAACCAATTTAGTCATAGATGGACGTGAGCGAGAAATACATCATACGCAGCTAACACGCGTTAGTTAGCTGCGCGGCCTATCACACACGCCATGTCAAAATCCCCAGCACCGGTGATATAATTAGCCCGACGCCTTTCTAATTCAACAAGATACACATTTACGGAAAGCATCTAACATAAAATGAATGCGGGTTACGTGTCATAGAGATTTTACCTGTTGTAATCAGCAGAACCGCTAGACATGGTCCGTTCGCGACTTCGGCATTCACTCGGAAAGGAAGAACATGTGAATCTCTGGCGTTTTTTATCTAACCGGAACTTCTTTTTGTACATGTAGAGTAAAACTGTATAAACACTTAGACAGCTACATGCGATTGACGTTTAATCGATCGCGACTAGAGGTGTAGTGCGAGTTTAAATACATGTTAATTTTATGAGTGTTTATCTTTGCTATGTCGAAGTTTACATGGGACTATATTGAGAAGCGCAAGGATATTGCACCACTGATAGGGAGTAGTGGAGTCGCTACGGGGTCTCCACCACTGACTGATCTATATGACTTGATCAGTGGTCTCCGCACTACATCAGGGGTTCAACCGTAATATTACGAAGCTACGAGAATACTTTTTTGTTTGCAAAAAAAATAAAATAACGACTTTATTCAACAATTCGTCTCCTCCGCGTCACCCTGGAGAGTATCCACTGACCGCAAACAGCATATGTTGTTCTGTGTCAGCTGCGCCACGCGGATAAGTTGTTTTAATTCAAATCAAAGCACAAACAACATAGAAAACGTGACGCGGAGGAGACGAATTGTTGAATAAAGTTGAATAAAGAATTTTTTTTTCTTTTGCACACAAAAAGTATTCTCGTAGCTTCGTAATATTACGGTTGAACCCCTGATGTCAGATGGATTATTTTACCGATCTGCTTGCTACGTTTCTGGATGGTGATCGTGGTAGTACCCTTGCTGTCTATGGGAGGGTCAGAGAGCTCTCAGAATGCATCAAAAATATCTTAATTTGTGTTCCGAAGATGAACGGAGGTCTTATGGGTTTGGAACGACGTGAGGGTGAGTAATTAATGACAGAATTTTCATTTTTGGGTGAACTAACCCTTTAAAATGGGACTGACTTAAAGTGACAGATCACCTTAACATTAAAGTTCTGTTTTAGTTCATTTACCCTAATTTTGTTCTAAACCTGTATGGAAAAAAAAAGATGACTGAGGCAGTCCAGGTTTGAAAAATATTCGAAGGCGAATAATGAAAACGTTTTGTGTGAACTATTCCTTTTAGTCCACCGTATACTGCTTTTTTTCTTTGTCTTTTTTTCTTTTCCTATATGCATAAAACCACTAGACCCATTTTATCATTTAAAACCTAAAAATATTTCACTTGTGTATGTCTCTATTGCTTGAAATTATTGGATTAGTTGGATTACATTACCCCCACCACTCCATAAAGATGTCATGGACAATAAAAGTGCATTAATCAATGATAAAAACGGAAAAATAAATAAATAAATCAACAACATTTACTGGTCATTCTTGCTCCATTAGTTTGGAAAATATTTTGAATTGAATTAGTTTGAAATAATGATGTTATGTTTTAAATCTGATTAAAAGAAAAGCTAGGGAGAATGTAGTTTGTTATTTGGATAACAGTAATTAGTAACATATAAATGGAACATTTATGTTACAGAGTTTCCATATCTTTTGACCAATTTTTTTTTTTTTTGTGGTTACTGGATTTTACAAATTGTCATATATCATAATATTGATGGGTCTTATTTATTTAATATTTATAATTATTTGTATTTATAGATACTGTAAGCATTTTTAAATATTTTAGAGATACAAAATATTAACTGACTTTTACTGACTTTGACTTTTAACATTGTATTAATTTAAAATACTTTTCCAATTATGGAAATCTCAATTTCAAAGTAAAAAAAAAGATATTATAGATATTATAGATGTTATACATTTAGTTCAGTAGCTTATTTAGTTCAGTAGCCTGTTTATAGAAAAAAAAATCAAATATTCTGCTTATGCAACTCAATATAATATTACATTTCTTTTTCACATTGGTGGACGTTAGATTTACCTTTTACAGGTTGCTGTTTCTGAAAATAGTATTTCGTAAATGAACCGATGCTATGGCGAACAGCTGACTGCGGTACAAGCGTCACTGCGCATGAGCGGAAGTAGGTGCAAGGCAGAGAGGGATAGCGGAAGAGGGAGTCTGGAAATCACAAACATGGTAAATGTGAAAAAACGAACACAATTGTTTTACTAATGTGCGTTACAGTCACAAAATACCCATAAACCGCTACGATGAATCCCGTTTAGTTATTAGGCTGTTTTGACGACGACGTTCCTTTAAACTTACCTAGCAGGAGAGTGAGTATTGATGAATTAACTGGTAGACAGCTAACTTATACAGAGCAGGTAGCTTTGAGGCTAGCGAGGTCAAAGCTGTTGGACAGCAGGGCTGTAAAATTCGTTTTACAAATGAGAAGCCGAACTAATGGGCCACAGGATTATTTGTTTGTTTATCAGTTACAAAACCTTATGCAAACAGTTTAAAAAGCTGCTGAAAAGCAGTTCAGCAGACAAGCGGTCATGTATGAAATCTTCGTGGTATTTAACTTGTATTCATACTTTTTAGTAGGGCTGTGCAATATATCGAAATATCGCAAATGTACATATCGCAATATGCATATCGCTACAGCTTGCAATATTTGGGGCCATGAACAAAAGACAAAGAGAAAATCACTCACTGCTCTTACCTAAATAACTTTTGTAGCTTAAATAAGAATCAGTGCATATTGAATTCAAAGAGTAAATATTAAGCAGTGTTTTATTTTTCCTTTTTATTATTCAGTTCCTAAACTCATGTTAAAATGATTACACTAATGTTAAAATGACATTTTTATGTAATGCTCGAGTAAAACACTACCGTTCACTTTCAGAAGTTGTTACAAATACAAATAACCATATATATATGACACAAGATAGTTATAGAAGTTCATAGAACTGACTCAGCAACAGTTTCATCTGAGCATGTGGCACTTTAAGCAATATCGTATCGCATATCGAATATCGCATTATTCAGATGTGTGCAGCACATTTTATGGATTTACTGATCCTGATCCTGGTAGAGTAGACTACAATGCCGGCTGTTCTGACTCCACCGACTGTAAGTAAGTTTTTTTATGTATAAAGAATTTGCCACTGACGATTGCGAGTAAAACACTACCGTTCACTTTCAGAAGTTGTTACAAATACAAATAACCATATATATATGACACAAGATAGTTATAGAAGTTCACAGAACTGACTCGGCAACAGCTGAGTAAAACTGTTTTCTCTGAGCATGTGGCACTTTAAGCATTATCGTATCGAATATCGCATTATTTAATGAGTTATCGCATTTTTCTTCAATATCGCACAGCCCTACTTTTTAGTATAGAACAAATCAATTATTTCTATTACTTGTCATTGAATAATATTTTGTTGTCAATATGCCATTGTGATACTGATTCTTAAAGGGGTCATGTGATGCGATTTCAATTTTTCCTTTCTCTTTGAAGTGTTACAAGCTCTTGGTGCATAAAGAAGATCTGTAAAGTTGCAAAGACTAAAGTCTCAAATCCAAAGAGATATTCTTTATAAAAGTTAAGAGTCAGCCACACCTACCTAAAACGGCTCGTTCTAACACGCCCCCACATACCTACGTCACGATGTGGGAAGATTTGCATAACACAGCCCAAATGTTCACGCAAAGAAAGAAAGCGTAACTTTTATTCTCGCTGTAGTATTGTTGACGCTGCAGCCATGTCGTGAAGACGCTGTGTGCTTCGTTGTGAAAGCGAAACTACTTTATTTGGCCTTCCAAAAGAGGACGATATCCGCTTCGTCATCCCTAGAGCTGATCCGTGCTGGTCGCGGAGGAAATACATCAACTTTGCGCTGTGGATCACCGGATCGGCTTTCACCATGGACGAAGCAGAGTCCAGCCCAGGGTCGTCACATGTGATTGCCGCAAGCC